AGAAAGAAGAGGAAGAGGAGGAGGAGGAGGAGGAGGAAGAGGAGGAGGAGGAAAAGGAGGAGGAGGAAGAGGAGAGCTGTTGGGAGCCTCTTGGGGCACTCTTGGAGCTTCTTGAGGGCCTCTTGGAGGCTTTTTGGGGGCCTCTTGGGGGCCTTTGGGGGCTTTTTGGAGACCTCTTTGGCTGGCCTGTCTGACGCCGTCTTGAGCTGTTTTGGGGGCCTCTGCAAACCGACTTGGGGCCCTCTTGAAGCAATTTGGGGCCGTCGTAGAAACAATGTTGGGCGTCGTGGAAGCCTCTTTTGCCGTCTTTTGGTAATGGGCGTTCTTGGGGGCCTCGTGGACCGTCACAGGGCAAGTTGCAGGCCTCTTCGGCGATCTTGGGGCGACCTTGTGAGCCTCTTGGGCCGCCGTCGGAAGGCAGAAAAGTATCCAATACACAAATCCTTCAAAAACCTTGAACGAATCGTTGTTTGTTGCCATTTTTGGCATTCCTGCACACCCTTCTGGAGGCCTCGTGGGCCGTCTTGGAGTTTTCTTGGGAGCCTCCTGGGCCATCTTGAAGCAATATTGGGCAGTTTGGGGTGCATCTTGGGACGTTTTGGAGGCGTCGTGGGGCCATCTTCGCCATCTTGGAAACCATCTTGGCAGTCTTGGAGCCCATTTTGGCCGTCCTCGAGGCATCTGCCCAGGGAGAGTTCTTTTGGAAAAGAACCAAGCCCGAAAACAGTAAGAATGCAGCACGCACGGCACCCTTGTGGCAAGACCACCGGAGGCGGCGGATCACATGGCCTTCGGCCCATCCCGCCACCGTGCCTGAATTGAGCGTCGGGGTCCTCAGGGGTGCTTCTCGGGGTGTTTTCGGAGCGCTCTCGGTGGCCTCTCGGGGGCACTTTTGGGACCTCTTGGGGGCTTTGGGGGGGCCCCTTGGGAGCCTCTTGGGCCAAAAGCTCTGGGGTGCTCGAGCCTTTCCACGCGCACCGCGACTACTGGCACCACCTGGTGACCCTGCAGGAGACCAGGCTCACGAAGCGGCACTTGGAGAGTGCACGAGGCCGTGTCCGAGGCCTGGGCTAGTCTACGTCCCGGCGGCACCCGGCAGCGTCCACGGTCAGCGTCGGGCCGTTGGCCAACTATGGCGGGGCCGCCGTCCCTGTGAGGACGACGTCAGCCCGCTTCCGGCACCAGATGGCTGGGGCGACCGTCGCGGCAGCGGGGCTCGATATGTGGTAGCGCCCATTTATTTCCAGCAGTCTTCGGGCCCAAGGGGCTGCACCTCGACATCGTCGAGGCCTTCGACGTCCTCCTCGCGCCCATGGGCCGCATGCCGTGCCTGCTACAAGCGGACTTCGCCATGGAGCCTGGGGCGTTGGACGAGCCCGGCTGGCCGCGCGCAGCGCGGCGTCGGGCCTGGCGCGCCCATCGGCCGCCGCGAGGTCCAGGACAATATGCGCGACTGGTTTTTCAGCTCGGGACCCCTCGCCCACAGCACACGGAGACGCAGGGGCCCTCGAAGGCTACAGGCGCCACCCGCACCAGCCAATGGTGTTGAAATTGGAGGAGGTCCGCAGCGATGACCTGGTGCAAACCCTTCGGCGACTTGGACGGCACCGCGATTTCGATTCAAAGGAACGCGTCGTTGGGGAGAGCGCGGATTTTCAATGTCCAAGCATCTCGGCGAGGTGGCCCAGACGGCCCATGGCCACGCGCAATGGCCCAGAGCTGAACCGAGGGCGGCATGCCTAGGGACCCTGGGCGCGCTGGTGACGAGCGGGCCCAGACAGTTGAGGGCACGCTGGACAGAATTCGCCAAATTGGCACCCGCGAGCTGAAGCGCTACCTCGGGCGCCCCGATGACCCGCAGCTGGCGCGCAAGCTGCTGAGCACATCTGCGCAGCGGGAGTTCCGCGAGAGGCATTCTTCCCTCGCGCGCCGCATCCGCCCAGCTCTAGGGGCCTGTCGATTTGAGCTGATAGGAGGGCCAGGCCGCTGCCCGCGCCGAGCTACTCATCGACGCCGCCGCCGAGGCCAGGAAGGAGCAGGGCGGCCGCGGCATCGGCGTCGACGCCAGCCGCTGGGAGGGCTCAGGTCTACCACGCGGGCGCCAGCGCGGACCTTGCGACCGCGGGGCAGCTGCGCACGCGCAGCGCTTGGCGCCACGATGGCAGCGGGAGCTCGGCCGCCCGGAAGCGTCGGGCACGCGAGGCAGCGCAGAGAGGTGGTCGCTTGGCGCGCCGCTCTGCGAGAGCGACGCCCCCTCAAGAGGTCTGCGACCCACGCGCGGGCAGGCCGCTCGCCGGCGCGCGGGCCGTCGGGCAGCTGGAGGCGAACCGGCCGGCTTCGCGGCGGCAGCCACGCTTCGCGGCCCATGCTGGAGAGGCGACCCGGCGCGCGCGGGGCCGACGGCTGCCGCCGCCACCTGTCCAGAAGTTGCGACGGGCATGCCGCAGGTATTCGGCGACCTGCGGCCTCGGGGCGGGCGCGCCCCACCCCCGCCAGATCCCTTCGCTGCCCACAGCGACGAAGCTGCGCCTTGTCGAACTCCTCGCGCCGCTCGAGGAGCGGCCGCAGCCGCTGGGGCGTCCGGCCGCGACGGCAGCGTTCACCCTCAAGGAGTCGGGGGGGGGCCTGCAGGCCCATAGCTCTCACCCCGATCGTTCTGCGACGTTGGGGCAGGCTCAGGCAGCCCATCTGCTCGGCTGGGGAGGCGGAGCGCTGCTGCCGCCTTTCCCGGGGGAAGGCCGACAGGCTGCGAGAAGACGAGCTGGTTTCGCCACGCGCACGCCACCTTCGCCCGAAGTGGCGGGCGTGCTCCCGCCGGCGCGCTCCTGGACATCGCGCTGTTCCACGAGGACCTGCGGCGCGACGTGCTCTGAAAGTGCGGCGAGGCCCACGGCTTCAACGCCCGCTTTCTCCGAAGTCTGTTGGCGCTGAACGAGGGCCCCTGCTTCCCGTGCTGCGCGGGGCTGGCCCCGTCGACCTCCCAGACGCCAGGCGCGGCCCGCGCCGGGTGCGAGGGCGGCGGCAGCAGCAGGCAGGCCGCTCGTCGCGGCCCGCAACGCGGTCGACGACATCGAGCCGCAGGCCGCGGGAACCGAGAAGCTGGCGGCGCGGCAGCTGGGGCAGGCAGGGCCTCGGGTCACGAAGGCTCCTCGCGCAGGAGCACCTCACCATCGGCTCGGGGATGTCCGAATCACTCGCCCCCCACACCCCCCCCCCCCCGCACCACAGCTCGGCAAATCGGCGGGCCGAGGTCTGGGAGGCCCGCAGGTGGAGCTTCCATCGGGAACTCCAGGCCCGCGACCTCGGCGCCGACGCGAAAGTTGCCAGGGGGGGCGTCCGCGAGGGCCGCGGCCGCGCGACCAGTGGACTGGCGAGGGCGCGCAGGCTGCGCAGCCCCAAGGCTGCGGGCGCCGAGGTCGACCTGACCCTCGAGGCGGGGCACGCCGTCTGCATGGCGCGAGCAGGGGCGCACCTGAGCGAGGTGCGCCCTCGGGGGGGGCCCATTTGCGCCCTAAGCCGCGCCCGCGCCCGGCGGACGTCAATTGCGCATCTGTCGCGCACTCTGCGAGCTTAGACTCGATCGGGGCTCGCGCTGGCGTGCTGGAGGCGCCGACTGCGCGCTACAAGCGCGCCTTCGACGGGCGCAGCACCGGCGTCGAGCGGGCGCCGAGTGGGCAGAATGCGATCGCGCGCCGCTCGCGGGCGTCGCGGGCGCGAAGTTCAATTCGAGCGCGCTGCGCCCTGCGGGGGCGCCCTGCCCCGGACACTTGCACACTTGAGTGCGGCGCGGTCTGCGGCTCTGGGCCGCGGCGGCGCCCCGCCGGCACCAATTGGGGCGCGGCGGGCCTTTTGCGGCGATTCTGGCTCGCGCTTGCGCGCTGGAGGCGCCGATTGCGCGTTGGAGCGCGGCTCGCCCTCAGCAGGCCCAGGCTGCGATCTGCGTCGCAGCATGCGAGCCAAGTCTGCATCTGAGCGACCTGCGCCAGTTGCGCAAGTCACAGCGGTGCGCCCCGTCTGGCTGGAATTGCAAGTCTGGATCGCCGCCTGGAGGCGTTTGGCGCGCCTGCGCGTGCAAATGCGCCTTCGAGGGCGCTGTGCCCTGTGCTGGCGCAGGGCCAGCACGGCGGACTTTAAGAGCACAGCAGACCACAGGAACACGGCAGACCACAGCAGCAGGACGGCAGACCAACAGAATGAACCGACAGTTGTTCTGATGGTCGTCTGCGTGTCACGCTTGGTTTTTTGCAGGTTTTCAAGTCGGTGTTCTCTGACAAACCTCGTGCACAAAATCGTCGCTTCCCGTTGTTGTCCGGTCTGGTTTTTGAATGCTTGCCGACTCGTTCGGGCCATCCGTAAATTTGTTCGGAGGGGGGCGTCGGATTAATATCGTCACGGGGTTGTTTTTGGAGGAGCCAACCGTGGCTCTAAAGACCCCCAAAAGGCCCCCCCGAGAACCCAAAGAGGGCTCCAAAAGGCTTCCAGGAGAGCCCCAAACGACCCAAAACAGCCCATGATGGCGCCAAGACGGCCCGAGACGTCTCGGGATGCTGTTAACTGGGGCCCTTCCCGACTCTCCAGTAGCACCCGCGCGCCCCCGGTGGCCTCCAGGCCTCCGGTGACCTCAGGAGGCTGCCGACGCTGCCGCCGCCGCTGTCGCCGTCGTCCTCCTCATCGCCTTCGTCGTTCTCGAGAGACGAAAAAACGCGAAAGGTAGGGACCGGCGGATGTCAGCGAAGGGCGAGGAGGTATCACTCGAGCATCTCCCTCTCCCCGTCATCAATATTCCCTCCTGAAGGTGGATTGGCGAGGGAAAGAGAAGAGTACGGGAGGATGCAGGTTGGGTGGAGGGAAGAGGGAGGCAGGAGGAGGAAGCGGAGGAGGAGGGGGAGGGGGCTGAGAGAAGCGAGGGAGCAGGGAGGGGAGGAGGCCTGAGGGACAGAGGGATGAAGACTGGTGCCGTGCAGCACGAGTGAGGACCCAGAGATCCGACGAGTTGTGTATGTTCAAGCAGTGGCGAGGCGTCACGGCTTGCCTATAGGCCCACCAAAGAATGTTCTAAGAACCGTTTGAGGTTTGCACGAATTGTCTTGGAATATTTCTGGCTGAGACTTTCGTGTTTTTATCAATCGGGCTTATGTTCTAAGAACATTGAACTTGTGATTCGAACATTTCTGGGTTGTAAGAGCGCATCGTGGTAGGCCTATAGGAATGCCGGAACGGTCGGTTCCTGATCAAGTTTTTGCAGTGCGTGGTTCGCAGATTCCCGACCGTTTCCCCAGGGCCAGTTCAGCATCCTGAGTCTTTCTGTTGACGGCCCTGCAGCCCGACGAAGGCCTCCAGAGGCCGAGGACTACGAAAAACCTCCGTCATGAATCTCTTCCAGCTCCTTGGAGGTCTAGGAACGAGAGGAGGGGGACACCGGCCGACGGCTGACGACTGGCCGCGGGCGGAGAGCAGGGGGCCCTGCCCCCTCCCCCCCTTCCGCGGGAGAGGCGGAGGCCGCCGGGGCGGGCTCGCCTCCGAACTGGGACGGCGCCCACGCCGACCAGGAAACCGTTTCCGCGCCCTTCGGCCGAGGATGGAGGAGGAGGAGGAGGAGGAGGAGGAGGAGGAGGAGGAGGAGCACGAGGAGGAGCACGAGGAGGAGCACGAGGAGCACGAGGAGCACGAGGAGCACGAGGAGCACGAGGAACACGAGGAGCACGAGGACATGGACGAGGACGAGGCTGAGGACGAGGAGGAGGACGAGGACGAGGAGGAGGAGGACGAGGAGGAGGAGGAGGCGGAGGAGGAGGAGGAGAGGGAGTAGGAGTAGGAGGAGGAGGAGGAGGAGGAGGAGGAGGAGGAGCAGGAGGAGTAGGAGGAGGAGTCGGGGGCGGTAAAGAGGGGGGTGATGACTAGGGGAGGGGGGGTATCATGGCCTTGGCCATGAGATCTCTCCCCAGACTTCATAGCGCCTCTTCCTATTTCACTGCGTCCCGGCCCCCCCCCCCCCCCACTGGGCCGCGCACACGCCGCTGGCCATGTTTTGCGCCCCCCCCTTCTTGGACGTCTCCCTCCTGGACGCCCCCGAAGGAGGAGGACCCAGACTCGGCGGCGAGCGAGGGGGGGAAGTGAGAAGGAGAAGGCCTTCTCAGGAAGCGGCGGGGTTTCTCAGAAGCCCTCTGGCCTCTGAGGAGTGTTGTGTGTCTTCTTGGAAGGGTCCGACAACTTTTCAGAAGGCCGAAGAACTGCCGAATCTTCTGAGAAGGCCTTCTCCTTTTCACTTCCTCCCGAAGCGCTGCCGACAGACCCCCTCGCTAGTGGGCTTCCCCAGATGGGGTCGGAGCCCATCTAGGAAGCTTCTACAGGAGGACCCATACCCCCACGCGTCATGAAACGATCACGTGGATGATGTTGTGATATTTCCGGCCTCTGGTGGCCTTTGACAGATCCCCAGGACCGTCAAATTAGTTTGGCGAAGGACACAACCATTCGTAGATGTGAGTACCGCGATTGTGGATACCGTCTTCGGTGGAGCTCCTTGTGGGGCCACGAACCGTGTGGGGGGCGTGCCGAACATGTGTGGCGAGGAAGCACGGGAACGTCGCCTTTGGAGCCTTCTTGTGGAGTTCCCCATGGAGCCACGAAACGTGTGAGGGGTGTGCCAAAATGGGCGGCGGGGACGCATGGGAACGTCGCCACTGGAGCCTAGGTGGAGCTCTTTATGGGGCCACGGACCGTCCCAAAATGGGTGGCGGTTGCGCATGGGGACGTCGCCGCTGGAACCTTACGTGGAGCTCCCGATGGGGCCACGAACCGTGTGAGGGGTGTGCCAAAATTTGTCGCGGTGGCGCATGGGAACGTCGCCATTGGAGCCTTAGGTGGAGTGCAGTTCCCCATGGGGCCGCGAACCGTGTCATGGGTGTGCCAACATGGGCGGCGGGGACGCATGGGAACGTCGCCACTGGAGCGTTAGGTGGAACTCCCTATGGGGTCACGAACCGTGCCACATGCGTGGCGGGGACGCATGGGAGCGTCGCCACTGGGGCCTTAGGTGGAGCTCCCTGTGGGGCCACACACTGTGGAGGGGGAGTGGCGAAATGTGTGGCGAGGACGCATGGGAACGTCATGATTGGAGGTGTAGGTGGGGCTCCTTATCCACGAACCGTGTGACGGGTGTGCAAAAATGGGTGGCGTTTAGGTGGAGCCCCCTTATGGGGCCACGAACTGTGTGGAGGGCATGCCGAAAACGGGTGGCGGGGACGCATGGGAACGTCGCCAATGGAGCCTTAGCTGGAGTTCCCTATGGGGCCACGACCCGTGTCATGGGTGTGCCATAATGAGTGGTGGGGGCTCATGTGAACGTCGCCCTTAGGTGGGGCTCTCTATTTGGCCATGAGCCGTGCCAAATTGGGTGGCGGGGACGCATGGGAACGCCGCCAGTGGGACTTTAAGTGGAATTCCCATGGGGCCACGAACTCTGTGAGAGGTGTGCACAAATGGGTGGCGGGGACGCATGGCAACGTCACTACTGGAGGTTTAGGTGGGGCTCCCTATGGGGCCACGAACCGTGCGAGGGGTGTGCCAAAATGGGTGGCGGGGACACATGAGGAACATCGCCAGTGGAGCTTTCGTTGGGACGTATGAGCGGTGTGCCAAAATGGGTGGCGGTGACGCACGGGAAGGTCGCCATTGGAGCCGTTTTCCTTATGGGGCCGCGAACCGTCTGAGGGGTGTGCCACAATGATTGGCGGGGACGCATTGGAACGTCGCCGCTGGAGCCTTAGGTGAAGTTCCTTATGGGGCCACGAACCGTGTGAGGGGTGTGCCGAAATGTGTAGCGGGGACGCATGGGAACGTCGCCACTGGAGCTTTGGGTGGAGCTGCCTATGGGGCCACGCCGTGCGCGGGGTGTGCCAAAAATGTGTGGCGGGGTCGCATGGGAACATGAGAACGTCGCCGCTGGGGCCTTAGGTGGAGCTCCCGATGGGACCCCGAACCGTGTGACGGGTGTGCCGAAGTTTGTCGCGGTGGCGCATGGGCACGTCACCGCTGGAGTTTTAGGTGGGGTTCCCTATGGGGCCACGAACCGTGTGACGGGTGTGCCAAAATGGGTGGCGAGGACGCATGGGGACGTCGCCACTGAACGCTTTAGTTGGAGACGTATGAACGGTGTGCCAAAATGGATGGCGGGGACGCACGGGAAGGTCGCCACTGGGGCCTTAGGTGGAGGGAGTTCCATGTGGTTCCACGAATCGTGACGGGTGTGCCAAAATGGGTGGCGGTTGCGCATGGGAACGTCGCCGCTGGAGCCTTAGGTGGGGCTCCCTATGGGGCCACGAACCGTGTGAGCGGTGTGCCAACATTTGTCGCGGTGGCGCATGGGAACGTCGCCACTGGAGCTTTAGGTGGAGTGGAGTTCCCCATGGGGCCGCGAACTGTGTCATGGGTGTGCCAACATGGGCGGCGGGGACGCATGGGAACGTCGCCACTGGAGCGTTAGGTGGAGCTACCTATGGGACCACGAACCGTGCCAAATTGCGCGGTGGTGACGCATGGGAACGCCGCCAGTGGGGCCTCAGGTGGAGCTCCCTGCGAGACCACGGACCGTGTGAGGGGTGTGCCAAAATAGGGAGTCATGGGAACGTCGCCAAAGGAACCTTTGGTGGAGCTCCCTATGGGACCGCGAACTGTGTGAGTGGTGTGCCAAAATGGGTGGCGGGGACGCACGGGAACGTCAACGCCGGTAGTTGGAAACATATAAAGGTTGTGCCAAGTTGGGCGGAGGGGACGCATCGGAACGTCGGCATTGGGGCCTTAGGTGGGGCTCCCTATGGGACCACGAACCGTGTGAGGGGTGTGCCGACATGTGTGGCGGTGACGCATGGGAACGTCGCCGCTGGGCCCCCCGGTGGAGCTCCTTATTATAGAGCCACGAACCGTGTGGGGGGTGTGCCAACATTGGTGGCGGGAACGCATGGGAACGCCGCCACTGGAGCGTTAGGTGAAGTTCCCTGTGGAGTCACGAAACGCGTGACGGACGTGCCAACATGAGTGTCGGGGTGAAGCCGCGGCGACTGGCTGTCTCCTGGAAGCCCATCGAGTGCTAGAAAGCGTCGAACCTCAACCCTTGATACGTCTCTCTCTCCTCCTTCTCCTGCCTCCTTCTCCTCCCCGCTCATCCCCTCCTCGCTTCTCCACACCGTTCCTCCCTCCCTCTTCTTCCTGCCCCTCCCCTCACTCGCACGGGCGCCTGCTTGGTGCCTGCGTGCCTCCTGTTCCTCGCTCGGTCGCTCGCCTCGGGGCCTCGAGGTCCTACGACCATGCTCAACTAAGAGAGGCAAGGCGAAGACAGTACATCCCAAACAACCGACCGCCGACCGTGCACTTGCAAGGAAGAAGGGAGGCGGGGGCACAGGCATGGCCAGACTCACCAAGTTCGCAACCCTGCTCCTCCTCCTCCTCCGCCTCCTCCTCATCCTCCTCTGCCCCCTCCCCCTACTCCTCCTCCACCACATGCTCCTCCTCCTTCCAGCAGCCCAAACTTGGCACTGGTCCCTCGTCCCTCCGCTCAAGTGGGTGGGAGCAAGGATGATGGCCTCGTCCACCGCGCAGTCTAGGCTGAATAAACCCCCAGCCCATGAACATCCGTGGACATCACCGCAGTCGGGAACACATGTGGTGACCGTCGTGACCCTAAACACACCGAAACATATCACGTTCACGCTGGGGAGTTACCTGACGGCGTGAACTCCATTAAGTTGACACAGGTTGGGTGGTCCGCGCCTTTGGATGAGATAGTAACAACACGCATGGAGTGTGCCTCGCCCCAGGAGCCAAGACACCGCAACCCCAAGTCGCAAACCCGAATCTTGCTCCTGGATCCCATCCAGACGAGCAGCGCTGAGGCCACGTGACCCCCATGGGTGGGAGGCGGCACGAGGCGCTCCCCACGTGAGCCCAACGACCAAGTGCTGGCGTGGGGCTCGAAGGGCACCGAGCGCAAGCGGCCTTCACGAATCCTGCCCTCCCACTTGTTCGGTATCCTGCGGGTCGTGAGGGATAGTCGGCGGCGAGCGAGGGGGGGAGTGAGAAGGAGAAGGCCTGCTCAGAAGGCGGCGGGACTTGTCAGAAGTCCTTGCGGCTTCTGAGAAGTTTTTTGTGTCGTTGGGGAAGGCTTAGAACACTTCTCAGAAGGCCGGGGGACTTCCGAGCCTTCTGAGAAGGCCCGCCCCTTCTCACTTCCCCCTCTCGCTTGCCGCCTAAATAGGGGCGGATGAGACGAGGGACAAGGGTAGGATGGTCTGAGTGCTCAGGTTGGTCCACATAGTCTACTGACTGGCGCAGCCCCTGCAGGTGGATTCTGTCAGGGTCGTCTCACAGTGAGCCTGGGCGCACGGGGCCGTCCAACGATGAGCCTGAGCAGGGGTCCGCACACGCGTTGCGCAGGCACCCTGGCGAACTTGCCACAACGCCCAGCCCTTCCGCTGGGCCGAGCCATGTGCGGTCGAGGCTCGATGGTCGCATGAAGCTCACGAGGTGATGGCCGAAAGGGGAGCCCTCGGCCAAGCCTCCCTGCCCGAGCATGTTGCACCTGTTTCGAAAGGTGGAGCCATCAGAGCAATGGGGGAGCCCCGACCCTTGTGGACACTCGCCCCTTGGGCGTTCAAATGATTGGCGGTGGCAGCAGCATGGCCACATTCGTAGCATACGAATCTTTGTGGGGGCGGCGGCAAGGGCACAGCCTCGTGAGGTGGGTGAGGGTATGCCTCGCTGTCAGCACCGCCCATCGGACCGTAGAACGACACTGTAAGGATGCTGCGAAACAGATCGAAGGAGTGCTGCCGTTCAGGTCTCGCGCTGTTCTGACGCGTGATGTCAACGAACTCATCGCCCTGCATGTTGTGAATGAGCCTCCAGGGCCATCGAATCGGCTCAAAAGACATTCCATGTTTGTCTCGTGGCTCCTGTAGCATGTGCGAGCAGGCGAGAGACATGATTCCTATAGTGTCTGACCATCTCCAGAAAGTCTTGATCTGGTTGAATGTCCGGACTTTCTCCTGGTCGCTCGCAGCCACTGGAAATCAGCAACGATGAGCCTAGGCCGGCTGTCATTCCATTGGAGGTCGAGCAGCAGCATCAACAGCGGTGGGGAGTTTTGCAGGACTCGCGGGAGGAAACGCAATATCGCAGCACGAAGAACGAAATCCAACGGAAGCCGCTTAACGTAGGAAATGATTGGGCTGGCCTCCGGCCAGTGCCGCCGATCCAGGGGGGGTTGGGGGGCCGTCTTAGACACTGTGAAGGCCCAAGAAACGAATATGCCGAACATATACGTTTTCCCCAGGGAATGGGTCTATGTGTCAGTCTTTGGGCAATGGACCTGCAGGGCCCCACGAGTTTCTTGATGGGTTGAGGGCCGAGTTCGCGGCCTACAAGCGGCCCGCCAGCTTCTCATCCAACTCTCCAGAGTACATGACTCCGCTTCCAAGGGTTACATGGGCCCCAACTACAGGTAAGATGAAGCCGCGTTGTCATTAGCCAAGAAAGATTCGCCAGCTGAATGGCAGTTCTTCGCCATTGCCATAGATCCCGCTCGCCGAAAAGAAGAGCGCAACCGTCCTCCTCCTCCTCCTCCTCCTCCTCCTCCTCCTCCTCCTCCTCCCCCTCCTCTTCCTCCTCCTCCTCCGCCTCCTCCGCCTCCTCCTCCTCCTCCTCCTCTTTCCCCTCCCCCCGAACGGATGCCCCCCAAGGACCTCTCCAGGGTTTGCGCGTGGGCGCGAGTCTCGAGGGGAGCCGAGGCTGTGGCGACGAGAAGCCCCCGCCCCCCAGAGGACCCCAGGAGGGCGACCGCACCCGCCACAGGGCGGCCAAAAAACATCGATCCTCGGAACCATCGATCCTCGGAACCATCGATCCTCGGAACCATCGATCCTCGAAACTCGACCCTCGAACCTCGACCCTCGCGCTCGCCACAGAGCGGCCGAAAACAGCGATCCTCGGAGCCATCGATCCTCGACCAGCGATCCTCGAGCCATCGATCCTCGAACCATCGACCCTCGGACCTCGACCCTCGGAACCATCGATCCTCGGAACCATCGATCTTCGAACCTCGACCCTCGAAGCCTCCATCCTCGATCCTCGCCGGCTCGCGGGTTGCTCGCCGCACACCGCGCGCCCTTCGGGGGCAACGCAGGGGGGGGGATAGGCTCGGGCGGAAGGCATCGACCCCCAATCAGCGACTGATCGCCGAGAGGGGCCTGACAGCCCCACCCCGCCCAGGATCGTAAGGCTTTGCCACAGGCGGCCTATCGCAGATCTTTCGGCCACGTATCGCCTATTCCAGGTCGATGTTCCCGTTCCCCCTGAGCCAGCCCTCTCACAACGTTGCCCCGCAGCCCCGCCTCTGCGGCGGGGTCGATCGCGAGGAGTTCCGCGCCGAGCCGCACTTCCGGAAGTTCTCGCAGTTGGTCGCCGAGCGTGAGCATTTGTGGGAGGAGGAGCGGCGGTGGTTGCAGGAGACTCCTCGCCGTCGTCGTCGCCGTTGTCGCCGTGCTCCTCCGTCTCCTCGTCGTTCTCCCTCCTGGGAGTACACCCCGCTGGTGGGGCGGCTCTCTCGGCTCTTGGTTTGTGCGCATCCCGCCAACAGGGCGACTTGACCGACAGGACGCCTTGAAGGACACCCAGGTCTTGTTGTTCAGTCTCTTGATGCCCGACTCGGGTCTGCGCTCGCAGAGCTCCTCCTCCTCCTCCTCCTCCTGTTCCTCCTCCTCCTCCTCCTCCTGCTCCTCCTCCTCCTCCTCCTCCTCCTCCTCCTCCTCCTCTTCTCTCAACGCATCTCGCATTGCAGTAAACACAGGGCCCCAGGGTTTCGCTCGCTCGCTTCTCCCTCCTCCTAGTCGTCCCTCCCTCCTCCTCCTCCCGGGCGTTGCCAGATGTGTCCCTGGCCCACGGTGCCCCGAGGACTGCCAGTAGGGCCCAGGTGGCCTCCAGAGCACCCCTTTGCGAGGCCCAGGGGGGCCCAGGGACCCCAGGATGGTGGAGGAGGAGGAGGAGGAGGAAGAGGAGGAGGAGGAGGAAGAACAGGAGGAGGAGGAGGAGGAGGAGGAGGAGGAGGAGGAGAAGAAGCTGGGGACACCTTAGGCCAGGGCCACCCTTGAGAAGCACCCGCGATCCTCCCTTCCACCCTCCCTCCCCCCCTGTCCCTGCCGGTGCTCTTCCCGTGCTCGTGTCGTGCTTCTTCCCTCCCCCCCCCGAGTGCCCCTCTCCCGCTCCTCCTCCCTGCTCGTTGCCGCTGCGCGCGTGCGCTCCCCCCTCGCCCCGCTCGCGCGCCGGCCGGGAGCGGGCCTGGAGTCGAGGTCTCTGCGCCGAGCCCCTGCAGGGCCCCGGATCCGGGGGCGCCTCGCCCGCAGAAGAGAGCCTGGGCCCCCGACCGCCCGCTCGTCGCCCTTCAGGTGCGGAGCCTCCCGGAGGCAGGTCGCTTCGGCACGGCAGCGATGGTTCGGACACCGAGAGGCTCGTTCGGGCACCGCGCAGGGAGCCGTGGAGCTCTAGTCAGGCGATCGCAAACGTGGGTCGAGGGGGCGTGGATTAGCGACAGGTCCCGTTTCCACTGAGGATCGCGGATTTCCGCCGCCGAACGAAGCGGCACCGACCGCCTTTTGGGGAGGGTTCCTCCCCCGATCCACGGATTTGGCGACCGCGCGCCAAATCTATGGATCGCTAGTCCATGTTTGCGCGCCCCCGATCTAAGGTTCAGGGGATCTCAAATGAATCCCACTTGGGCTGTCATCTTGATTGCCACGTGGATTGTCGTGTGGACTGTCACGTGGGCCGTCTCGCGGATGGTCACGTGGATTGTCTCGTGGATTGTCCTGTGGGTTGTCCTGTGTTTCATAGTCCTGTGGATTGTCCTGTTGCCGCATGGATTGTCGTGTGGTTTGCCTCGTGATTTGACACGTGGATTGTCTTGTATATTGCCCTATGGATTGTCCTGTGGAGTATTCACTTGGAGTGTCCTGTGGATTTTTCTGTGAATTATCCGGTGGATGTCTTTGGATTGTCTTGTGAATTGTTATGTAGATTGAGTCGTTGATTGCCTCGTGGATGGTTTCGTGCATTGTCTGAATCGTTGACGCTTCGCATATCCCCACCAGCTAGGCTCGCGCGTTGCTCATTAGATCGGCCCGTGGCCCGGACCTTTCAACTCGGCGCCTGCGCTTCCGCTTGCGCCCGCGAGGAAAAAACATATTCCCACCAGCCCCCCTGGTTGGGCTGCCCTCTGTCGTCGGTTGCAGCTGGAGGGTGCCGTGGCTTTTCCTGGTCCGGTGGCTCAGACGCGTACGGTGTCGATGACATCCGTCGTCCGCCTGGCTACCCTGTCCGTCCCTGGGGCCCCTGTGGCCGGACGCTCGCTGGACCGCTCTCCCCTCATGGGGGTCGTGGTGTGCGGCTCTGGTGGCGCCACCTCCTCCTCCTCCTCCTCCTCCCTCCTCCTCCTCCTCCTCCTCCTCCTCCTCCTCCTCCCCTCCTCCTCCCCCTCCTCCTCCCTCCCCCCTCCTCCTCCCTCCTCCTTCCTCCTCCCTCCTCCTCCCCCTCCCCCTCCCATGGCAGTCAGTATACAGTCGGGGCGCCGGACAAGGAACCGTTTTCGTTGGGGAGGGGCTCCGTGTTCCTTGATTGTTTCGCAGCTTGCCTCAGGTTGTCCTTTGGTCTTCGATGGGGGATCGAAGTTTCACTTATGGAGTAACTTGTGGAAAAAAGAGGCCTCGTTCCTTATTTAAGGTTCCTTAGGTCAACGCCCCGACTGTACCGGCTCGCCGCCACCCTGGTCACATCCTGGTGTATCCCTCGCGCCATTTTGGCTGCGCCCCAGCTTCGGTTGGCGAATTCAATTACACGCCTCCCTAGGTTGGTTCCTTGGCAGCTGCAGTCAATTCGCATACCTGGTGGCTCAGCCCTCGCGGTTCGCACGTATGCACTCCCTGGCAGCCCCTGCAGCTCGCAGCCCCCGCCCCGGCGGTAGGTCCTGCTGAGCCCCGCGCGCGCGCCGGCAATTAGTTTTGCTCGTAGCCCGAGCCGATTCGACTCGCCGTCGGCGGTCTCGCCCGCGGTCCGCGACGAAAAAAAATCCCCACCAGCTTTTTCCCTTAGCCGGCGACATAGACTGCCGCTGGTCGCCCAGCGTTCGACCCGTTTCGCGTGCCCGCTTACCAACAAGTATCCCCACGAGCCCATCCAGCAGCAGATCACCAGGCGAGTTGCCTTGATCAGGGAAGTGTAGAAGAGTGTCGTGTAACAACCGCCTTGGAAGCATGCTCTCGGAGGTCTTTTGGAGCCACCTTGAGCTCTTGCGGGTCCCTCACGGAGCATTTTTGAGATCCTATTGGGGCTCTCTTGGGGCCTCCTTGGGGCTCGTTGGGGGGGGGCTGGGGGGCCTCTTGGGACCATCTTGGCCCCAATGACTCAAAAAGGGGGGGGAATAAATTCAGGCCCCACGCCTGGGAGGTTCAAACATGGCGTCTTGAGGCCCTCTTGAGGCGCTCTTGGGCTCTCTTGGAGCCCTCTTAGGCCCCTCTTAGGGCTCTCTTTGGCCATCGTGGGGCCATCGTCAAGCCTCAAGAGCCCATCGGAAGCGAACAGGCGAGAATGCAACAAACAGTATGTCCCTCCGGTTTCGGAGCCATTTTGGCCTCCTGTGGGGGTCCTTGGAAGGCTCGGCGGGCATTTGAAAACATCTTGGGGCCGTATTGAGGCCTCTTGGATGTTTGTCGGAGGCTATCTTGAGCCATCGTAAGGTATATTGAGCAATCTCGGAGGCCATCGTGGGCTCTCTGAGACCCTCTTGGAGCCATCTTCGGCCATTTTGGACGCTCTAACCCCTCCGTCCCCCCCCCCATCCCAATCCCACGCCAAGGGGAAGGAGAGCAGGGGAAGGAGGGGTGTTGGCAGAGAGAAGACAACGTTCGTTAAACCACTTACGCACAAAAGGCTGGTGGGATTCATTGTCCTGGGGACTGTCCCGTGGATTGTGACGGAGTCGGGGGCCCGTGTTGGTTGGTGCAGCGCTCGTGCTCGTGCTCAGTCCATACCCCCCCCCGTGCGGGCGCGGCGCTGGGTCACGACAGGGAGGAGTTATTCACGAGGGAACGAATGGAGGAGGAGGAGGAGGAGGAGGAGGAGGAGGAGGAGGAGGAGGAGGAGGAGGAGCAGGAGGAGCAGGACGAGGAGGAGGAGGAGGAGGAGGAGGAGGACGAGGACGAGTAGGAGGAGGAGGAGGGGGTGGGACGCCAGGGCGGGGCCGCAGTGGTGGCGGGGCGCGGCCCGGGCGAACGACGGCCCGGGCGCTTGGGCGCCCGCGGGAGGCCTCGGAGCTGGGCCTCGGGGCGCCCGCGGGGGGCCTGGAAGCTGGTGCCGGGTATGATGCTCCAACCTATTTTAGCCTTGATTCGACTGCACGTAAGAGTGACCCTTCGCCAGAGTGACCTTTGGTGCGGGCCCATTGGGGTCCCCGATCGCCGAACGCGAGGCGGCAGTGGCGTCTTGCGCGCTTGTGTTAGGCCCCCCCGCGGCCCCCAAAAAGCCGCGCTTCAAAGGTCAGTCTTGCCCAGGGTCACTCTTGCGTGTAGCCGATTGCTCACCAGGAAGAATTTCGAGCGCCCAGAAACAGGAAGAATTTCGAGCGCCCAGAAAAAATCCGAAGCTCAAGGGTTTTCACGTGCCGGGCCCCGGGAGACACTGTTTCGACACTGTTCCGACGCTCTTTTGACACTCTTTTGACACCTTTCTGGGTGCTCCAAGCTATTTCTGGGGTGCGGTCCTTAAGTAGGACGGGAACAACATAAGTGCCGGGGCGCCCGTCGGAAGCCCTGAATCAGGGCGTTGGGCCCCCTGGCAGATTGCAGTCAGCCCGCACAGTAGAGATGCGCGATTTCCCCTCGCATCCTTCCCCTTCTCACCTAGCGCGTTCCACTGCTCGCAAAGTGCCTACTCGCAAACGCCCGAAAAGCACGTGTCTGCTTCGATGTAGTGTATCGTAGGTCCCCCGCGGCGGATCCAGGCCACTTGCAAGTAGCTGCTGTGCGAGTGCTGGAACGCGCTCGTCTACCCTCGGCCCACCCTTGGCCGCTTTCGCTGGCCACGCCCCACTCGCAAAGTGTCCGCACGGCCCTCCAGGGCCCTTGCATCCGCAGAGTCGGGGCACCGAAGAAGGAACCCTTTTCGTTGGGGAGGGGCTCGGTGTTCCTTGATTGGTTTACAGTTTGCCTCGTGTTTCCCCGAGGTTTTCATTGGACATCGAAGTTGAACTTGTGGGAAAAAGAGCCTCGTTCCTTATTTAAGGTTCCTTAGGTCAACGCCCCGACTGTAGTGTACGAGCTAACTGCGCTGACGATGGGGTCCTCTGACGCCCCTCGGACTTTTCGTCAGGGTATCCTGGGTTTCTTCGCTCCTCGCGCTGCGCGTTGACTTCACGAGGCCGTTGAAGAGGTGGTTGCGTTCAGGGGAGCTCCAGGTTTCC